CCTTTCTCAGTGTCATAGGAAAAGTTGTCTGGGAAGGATGAGGAAAATAAAAGTTTAATCGAGTCAGTATTCAGATAAAGGCGTAGCCTTCTCTTAAAGGTGTGTAGATTTTCTGAAGATCTTATATTTATTGGAAGGTTATTCCAGAGGAAAGTATACCTGGAAGCGAAAAAAAGGGAGCGCTTAGAGGTGGAGGACGCTGGAAGAGGTATAATTAGAGACGAATTGCGAAGATTGTATGGGCGACTACTAGGGGTAAGTGCTGAAATCCGAGGAAAATTTGAACTATGATTAATGCGAAAGAGGAGACAGAAGCCCGCTTCTAGTCTTCGAACCCATAAAAATTTTAGGTTAGTTAGTTGGCATCTATCTGAGTAGGAGATATTGGGATGTTCCCTATCTAAAAGTTTTTTTGAAAAACGTCTTTGGACATTTTCAATTTTTAAACGACTGGCTTCATTCATCAAACCAAAGAATGGGCAACAATACTCGAGAATGGGAAGTACAAACATACGATAGAGCCTTAATTTAATTTCAGGAAGATAGAAATTGTAAGAAATAAAGCCACAAATCTGAGCAGCTTTGGCTGTAATTCTGTCAGCGTGCGGCGAGAGATCAAGATTACTAGTGTAGCTTAAACCTAAATCCTTGATGGTGGTACATTCAGTCATAGGTGTTCCTTGAAAGACCACAGGTTGGGGTAGCCTATCAGGTCCAAAACACATATAACGACATTTAGACGGAGAGAATTCCATTAGCCATTTTGAGCTCCAAGCTGAGAGAGCAAGCAAGTCAGCATGGATTTGCTCCAGGCAATGAAGGCTCGTAGATTTTTTAAAAGAATATACACATTTGAGATCATCGGCATAAATAAATGATTGAGAATGTTTAACTGCGGCTGAAATATCATTTATGTAAAGTAAGAACAAAAGAGGACCTAAAACGGTACCTTGTAGGACACCGCTCACAATAGGACTTTCACTGGAAAGTGAAGATCCCACCAAAACCTTTTGTTTACGATTAGACAGGTATGACCTGAGAAAGTCTATTAGTGGACTGCGAATTCCCATAGCTTCCAATTTAACCAAGAGTCTTTTATGTGGCACTTTATCAAAGGCTTTACTAAGATCAAAATAAATTACGACAACAGATAGGTGATCATTACGAAGAGAGGTAAGTAGATCGAGAAACGACAGATGACATGGTTCACAAGAGCGATCTGGTAAAAAACAATGTTGGGAAGGGCTAATAACTTGATTGGCTATGCAAAATTCGGTAATTTTTATGGCGATAATTTTTTCAAAGATTTTGGCGAGAGAGGGTGTTTTATGGACACCTCGATAGTTCTGTACGTCAGAACGACAGCCAGACTTAAATACTGGAATAATAATAGAAGTTTTCCAATAGTCAGGGAAGAAGCCATTTACGAGAAATACTGAAAAGATTTTGCTAAGCAGAGGAGGAAAATCTCTTAGTTGTTTTATCAAAGAGTTTGGGATATTGTCCGTACCTACTGAGTGAGAGTTAGGAAGATGACTTATCAGTTTTTGAATACATTCAGGAGAAAAATTAATGAAGCTAAGAGAAGCATCAGACAACGAAGGAATTAAAGGGATCGGATCAGTTTCAGTGGTGTGCGTGGTGGATGTGTTGGATGTCGTGGCTGTAGCGGAATTGTGGTCAATGCCGCTCTCGTGGATGCGCATGTGGACGAATAGACCCATGCGATGCGTGAAGGTGCGAGGGCAGTGTGGGCAGTGGTGGCGAGTGCGGTGGGTGTAAGTTGGTGCTCTAGGCACTGGTTCGCCAGTCTCTGTCGATGGATTCGCACGTGACCGACCAGGCCGATGCGTGAGGTGAAGGTGCGATCGCAGTGAGGGCAGATGTAGTCCTGGCCCTCACGTCTGATGATGGAGGTTGCAGGGCTTGTGCCTGTTGTTGTGTCAGGTGCGGCTGTGGTGAAGTCATGCGCTACACACGCCGGAGTGGCCGTAGTTGTGGCAGTGAAGGAGGAAGAGGAGGAGGAAGGGGAGGAGTGAGTGGTGGTAAGGTCGGTGGCGTCGATGTCAGCTGGGGAGTGGTTAGTGGGTGCACAAGGTGATGGATTGGGAGTGGGGCTCGGCGGGGTAGGTGTGTCAAGGGGACGGTCAATTCCGTTCTCGTGGATGCGCATGTGGCCGAATAGACCCATGCGATGCGTGAAGGTGCGAGGGCAGTGTGGGCAGTGGAGGCGAGTGCGGTGAGTGTAGGTTGGAGCTCCAGGCACTGGTTCGCCAGTCTCTGTGCGATGGATTCGCAAGTGACCAACCAGGCCGATGCGAGAGGTGAAGGTGCGGTCGCAGTGAGGGCAGGTTTAGTCCTGATCCTCATCACTGGAATCGGGAGAGGTGGGAGTGGTGGCGGTTATTGTGTCGGGGTTGGTGATGTGTGAGAAGGCAGTCTGAACGGTCGCCGCTGGGGCAGTGGAGGAGAAGGAGGAGGATGGAAGTGGTGGTGCAGAAGGGGTGTCAGAGTTAGTTGGCGGAAGAGAGGAGGAAGAGGCGGGCGGGGGGACGATGGCTGGAGCAGTTCGAGAGGTGCAGTTGGTTCGGAGATGTCCAACAAGTCCGATTCGTGCCCGGAATGTCCGTTGACATCGAGGACACGTAGTGGTGGTGGTGGTGGCTAGTTATCTCAAAGAAGGTGTGAACAGGGAACTCACACCCTCTGTGTTACCTTAGGTCTCCCTCTCGTCAGGTTGTGCGGCGGCGTTGCGGACTGGACGAAGTTGTGATTTGCGGGCTTCGCGTTTCGCTTTGGCGGCGGCGATTCGGTTGGCTTCATAGATAGCAGCGCCCGTCTTCACTGTTCTCCTCCATGTCGGACGATCGCGAGCGAGCTCTTCCCAGTTGGTCGGGTTGATTTGCAGGCGCTTCAGGGAGGACTTCAGAGTATCCTTGTAACGGCGAATTTGGCCTCCTTGACGACGAGAACCCGTCGCGACGTCTCCGTAGAAGAGTCGTTTGGGTAGTCGCTCGTCGTCCATGCGCACCAGGTGGCCGCTCCAGCGCAGCTGCATTTGTTTCAGTATGGCGTAGATGCTGGGGATTCCCGTTCGTTCCAGTACTTCCGTGTCGGGGATTCGATCCTGCCAGTTCAGCCTCAGGATGCGACGGAGACAACTGAGGTGGAAGTGGTTCAGTCGGCGTACCCGTCTCGTGTACATACATACATACATAGAACAGTTTCCGGGTGAAAACCCTCTGAACATTTTCGACCTTATGGCGGTCACAGACGTTCATTAAACCGAAGAAAGCACAGCAGTATTCGAGGATTGGAAGGATAAACATTTGATAGAATCTTGGCTTCATTTCCGGAAGGAAAAAAATTATGCGATATGAATCCACATACCTGCGCGGCTTTGGCAGAGATTCTATCTGCATGAGGTGATAAAGCAAGTTTATTTGTATAACTTAGACCCAGGTCCTTTATGGTGAGGCATTCTGAGAGTGGGTTATTCTGAAAAATTATTTGACCAGGAAGTTTGGCAGGACCAAAAGACATGAAACTACACTTGGATGATGAAAACTCCATCTGCGATATTGAACCCCATCTGCTTAAGCGTAGTAAATCGGCATTAATTTTTTCAACACAAATGTTTGCGGTATCCTCAGAGTATGAGTAAACACACTTGAGGTCATCGGCATAAGTAAAAGTTTGCGAATTTCCGAGTTCAGTCGAAATATCATTGATGTACAGAAGGAAGAGTAGCGGACCCAGAACCGTGCCTTGAAGTACGCCACTCGTGATCGAGTGGGGTGTCGAGAAGCTATTACCGACCATGACTTTCTGATATCCGTTGGACAGATAGGACCTGATGAAGTCGAGTAGAGGCGGCCGGATGCCGAGAGCTTCCAATTTTACTAAAAGACGTCTATGGGGCACCTTGTCAAAGGCTTTGCTAAGATCAAAGTAAATAACAACCACTGACTGCCGCTCATTACGAAGAGAAGTGATTAGATTAAGAAAAGCCAAGTGACATGTTTCGCATGATTTGGTTTCATGTGGTCACTATGACGTTCTTACCCATTATGAATCGAGCAGGGTGTGGCGCAAGCCAAGAGACGACTACGGTCGCCCCAGCCCTTTTGTTGCTGTTTGAAATTCTGAACGGTTTTTAGTTGTGGACCAGGGGGCGTGGTGCTACTCCTAGATGCATAATCGGCCATGCCATTCCCCTTTCGCCCTCCCCTGTCTCCGCTCTTCTTGACACTGTCTTAACACCGAGCGGAGGTGGGGAAGGTATTGCGCTAGAAGCTGTGCAAGTCAACTACCACTATAAATTAAATCACGCACAACACACCGTACCTTGCTGTGGAGCACACAGTGGACATGATCGAATACGGCGGTCGAACTGTCATGTGCGCGTTCAGCTGGTATTTATTTTCGGCGCCGTTACAGTTATTGTGAGAAGATTGGCGTCCTGTCCACGAATTAGAATGCCCTTGATGTTCCTTTTGTTATATCCGTGATTCGGGTGGGCTAACAGGATGCGGAGACCCCGATCGCGAACTGCCATAAGGGACCTTAAGCTTGCTTTTCCGACGCCAACCGCCTGATGCCTCCCCAACCCCTTCCACAGCTTTGTACTCTGCAGGCTCCAGTATTTTGTCTGAACTTAAACTGTTGTAGCCTTTTACGTCGACGGTGATGCAATACGCAGGCATCTGAATAGACACCTGGCCTTGTTCTCCATGAACAGCCTGGGAATCGTCGCCTCAGGCATACTGAACAGCCCGCGTTTTTTATGTTTAAGAGCCGGAATGGAGTCGCTTGCTGAGTGTACCGCTCCGGTCGTACCGTCTTGTGAGTGGTATCCAGACTGGTCAAAGCATGAAGTTAGTACCGGAGTAAGTTGTTGTTAACCATCCTGAGCGATTAAGACTACTCTCGTTGCGTGCAAGTTTGACGACGGTGTCGTCATCGGTGCCGACTCTCGGACCTCGAGCGGGTAATGCTTCTCTTAGTGTTATTTTGTAAGTACCTTTGTTGCAAACCGAATAACGGACAAGTTGACACCCTTAACGAAGTACATATACTGTTGTCGTTCGGGGTCAGCCGCTGATACCCAAGCCATGGCTGATATTGTGCGGTATCACCTCGACTTTCACACAATAGAGATGGGTCGCGAACCAACGGTTTTCGAGGCTGCGACGGTTTTTCGCAATCTATGCTACAATTATAGGGATGATTTGCTCGCGGGTATTTTCGTCGCTGGCTGGGACAGCGAGAACGGTGGGCAGGTTCGTGCATTTCTGACGAACCATACTCTTCAGATATATTCTATACCCGTTGGTGGAATGCTCATAAAGCAACCCGCTGTAATTGGTGGATCAGGAAGCACTTATCTTTATGGCCACTTCGATTCCGAGCTGAAGCCTAACATGACGAAGCAGGAGGCCATTGCATTCGTCAGCAAGTGTAAGTCAATTCCCAATGATTATATGGCGACCACTGTATTTTTTTATCTCATTATCATATGCCGATTTCTCATTGTTTCTTTCATCTTAAGTATTAACTTGATGACCCCCACATTGGCCGCTTTTTGCGACCCAACTTTTCCGTCGAGTTAAGAGCTGCGAGTCTTTGTAACCCGTATATTCTGAAGCCCTGTGCCAAGAACGCTGATGCTTGTTAGTGAGCCATACACAGGGGTGTTTATTCTTATTTCCATGATTGGTTTATTGTCAGCAAGGGGCCCAGCCTGCATAATTTACTTACTCTACACTCCGCGGCGTTTATCTTGTCTTCTTCGGTCGGCTTTTTAAAATTATCTGAGTACTTACTTGTACTTGGTACGGCTGCGATCATGCCTGATCTGGCCGACCTCGATGATGTCCCCAGCTGTAGCTTTCCGCACGTAACGATCCGTGGCAGCAGATCTGGGCAGGTCAACCGATTCTCTTTGCCAACGACGGAGACCGAATACCGAAGGGCCAAGTACCACCTTTTCTTGACGAACTCTGTCGAGCCAGGTTTTGAGTTGACTCCCTTTTCGACGCCTCCATTGTTGTAACGGTGACGGATCGGGGGTAGTTACATTGAGCTCCTGAGGTGAACGACGGAAACCATGCCCAAACAACCTCAGTCGCCTTTCTAGGACGGCCTGGGTTATCCTTGCGATGTTGTCGTAGCGAGCACGAACTGTCTCATTTGAGACGAAGTCGGTGTGCTTAACTCGAAGGATGGTCCTCAAGCAGTATTAGTCAGATACCTGCAGTTTGCGCTTGTCATCCACGCGCACAGCCCAGCATTCATAACCGTAAAGAAGGACAGACCGGATAGACGCACGGTGCACGCGAGTCTTAATGGCGATAGAGAGGTCGCGTCGGATCCATAAGCATTTTCTAAGGCTTGAAAAAACCCGTAGGGCAGCATCAATTCGGGATACAATGTCATTTCTCATCTGGTCATTCGGAATTAGCCTCGCCCCGAGGTATTTAAAACTGTCTACTTCTTCAATTTGACAGCCATCAATCCGGAGAGGCGCCTTCTCCTGGTCAGGGATGCAGCTTAAAAACACTTTAGTCTTCCCAGCGTTTATGGATAAACCGACCGATTTAGCGACCTCCACCCGTGACGCCATAGACGGCAAATCACAAAAACTTGAAGCAAGTAAGACAATATCATCGGCATAGTCGAGATCAGTCAGTCGTCGTTCGAGCGCAAACCCAACACCGTCACCTTCATGTAGGACCCTCCAGAGAATCCGGTCAATAGCCTAGTTGAACAGAATGAGCGACAGGATACAACCCTGTCGAACGCCAAACCGAATTCCAAACGGTTGGGTAAGATTGTTGCGGACCAGGACTCGCGCAGTGGTAGTGCGGTAATAGGCCTTAATAATGACGACGATTTTTGGCGGTAGACTGTCTAGCGCCATTACCCACCACAGGGACTCACGATGGACGGAATCGAATGCGGCGGCAAAGTCAACAAAGCAGACGGTCGTCGGTGGTTGGTAGCCATATGTGAAATTCGAGCATGCGTCATAGTGTGAATAACTGGTCCGCGCATCCACGTCCAGCAGGAAATCCGGCCTCGTTGGGCCTCGTCCTAGAGTCACGCACAGACTGGAATCGCATGCGTAAGACAACAGCGAGGATCTTCACAGCATCGTCAATGAGGCTTATGCCGCGGTAAGTCTCGCATCTTGTCTTATCTCCCTTCTTGAGAATAGGTGCTAGGATGCCTGAGCCCCAGTCACCAGGAGCAACCTCGTCTCTCCACGCTTGTTCAATCACCTCATAGAGCAAGACCGCCAGTTTTGACAGAAGACTTGTAGATTTCAGCGGGTATGCCGTCCTCTCCGGGTGCCTTGTTGTTGCGTAACGTTCGTATGGCATCGACGACCTCTACTTCAGAAGGGGAGTCACATGACACTGCATAGGTTGGAGAGGGAGAAAAATCCGCTGCAGAGGAAAGCAAGGATGTAGTGGATTGGGTATCTAAGTTGAGATGGTGCTAGAAGTGCTCACACCAGCGCTGGACTTTGGTCGAGTTGTCATCAGTAAAGCCATTTACGTCGCCAAAAGTTACTTGAGTGTAGAGGACTTGGCGGATGAGTTTTTGAGTGTCACTAACGTTCAAGGCCTGTTCCATGGAGGTTGTTACTTCAGTCCATTATTGGTTCAGGCGATCCCTGACCGACTTTGACGACCATTGGTTACTGCCTTCTCCGTCGTCTCGAGTCGTGAAACAGGACCGAAGTTCTCTGCTAAGGGCCTTGGCAGTGCTGGTTTGCCGGATGTTTGCGACATCGAGGTGTCTAGGACGTGGCATTTTTGGTGCGGATGAGAGGTGAACTTTCAAGCGTGTACGAGCGAAGACATGGTCCGGCCCATGGGCATTACCATTCTCGGCACCACGCATCGATCTGCTATCGTGAACTCAACTGCCGAACCTTGATCTGGCTGGAATGTACTCAATCTGACTGGCCGTATGACCGTCGTTTGAATACGAGGTCAGCAGATGTTTCTTTTGATACTGGAAACACATGTTGGTGGCAAGAAGTCGATTCTGATCAGCGAAGTTTAGCAATCGCCACTTTCAAACCTAGAATCAAGCCCAAAACGGCCAAGAAGATGACTGTTTTTTGAGTCGGCAGGTCCAGTCCGGCCATTCCAATACCCGACAACAATCAGCAGATCGCGGCGAGGCAGTTGTTTAACTAAAGCTTGCAACTGCGAGTTAAACGCCTGTTTATCGCGCTGTTCGACAGCTGAAGTTGGTGCGTACACAAAGATGGTGGAGATGTTCGCGAAGTGACCTTTCGGTCGCACGTAAGCCATCCGGTCATTGACTGGTTCCCAAGCAAATAACTCGAGGTCCGCTTTTTGAGAGAGGGCGATAGCCACACCGTGTCTACCAGAAGAGTCGCGCGGGCCGCTGTGGTACAGGGTTGAGTGTGATTCGACTCCAGGGATCTTTATTTCTCGAGAGCCTGACTTAGGAATTCGAACTTCGGACAGACAGCAGACATCCACGTTGTACTGTTTAAGGCTGCGCGCGGTCAGACTTTGGGTACCAGGGTCCAGGAACGTTCGCACATCCCAGCATCCAATATCAAGAGTCCGTCCCCGAATAAGTAGTCCAGCTCGCATATTATTCGCCCGCACTACTGGACCAGGGTTTCAGAGCGCGTCGGTTTTTGCGGACGCCGTAGCATGGGTCGTAATTCTGTAGTCGGCCATATTTCATAAGGTTTCTTGGGAATTATGAGTACAGACGGGTTCCCAACAACGCCCGGATTGTTTGTTCGGGGTTTTCTCCTCTAGCGCTTTGGCTTAAATGCCTAACCACAAGGCAGCGGTGGCATGCAAACTTATTTAATGGCGGTTTACGCTCGCCATGTCACAGTGCCTTTATCGGGCTTTGCGGCTCTTTTATAAGGCTTTCAATGCGCTTAACCTCAGCCCTCCGCACCCTGGTAGTACTGTCGCTGCTGGTCCGCGACAGCTTTTGCGTCAGACCTTGGTCTGCTGATTTCGTAGCTGGCCTTCACTGAAGGCCGTTCCACTATCCGCTACCTGTGGACGCGCCGGGTGGCCAGCAGCTAGGCTAACGGGCAACCCGCCTTCTCGTCTGAGTCCCCTTTTACTCTGCCTCATTTTAATCTGGCAATGAATAACCAGATGGATATAAGATGACTTTAGACATAAATGAGCCTCTATAATGACGCAATAAATGGATATAACAACTAGGCTGGCAAGTAGGTAGCGGTCATCCGACTGGCAGCATATCGGTCCAGATCTCTAGCCCGTCTTCGAAGACCTCTTCAGCGACAAACACTTAAGTAAAATCTTTTGAATACTTCTGAACTGTTTGTAGCCTCGGAAACCTCATTTGAAAAGAAAGGCTCAATAAGACCTTAACAAGCGTCCCGCCTTGTCTTCCAATTCGCGTTGTTCAGCTGGGTCTATCAGAATTCTGCCGTTCTCGTCGGACCGGACGTCCGTTTTATTTTTCACTTTTCGCTTTTGAAAGCAAGTCCAGCTTCCTGCACCAGAGGCTGTTTGTATTGTCAGAAATTTTATCAACCAGTCTGTCCGGGAAAGTTTGTTCAGGGCATTAGTCCCAGAGCAGTCGCCTTCGTGGATTTTATTTCTTGCGCACTCTCCTCCCCCACACGGATCCGGTGTCAAGACAGAGTCAAGAAGACCAGAGGCGGGAGAGGTCGCAGGTGGTTGACATGGCGAAAACCCTCACCTAAGCGTACCACCACATCTCTGGTCTACAACGTACACCGACCAGGAATCTATACCACAAGAGAAGTGGGTCAGCGGCACGGATCACAATTGGCGCGACGCGAGCCTGGCACCACACCTGAATGTTGGCATTTGTTATGGATGCACATTCCCGACATCTACCGGAATCCCATCTAGCCCCTGTGTTGGCCCAACGCATGTACCGTGTGGCCAGTTTTAGGGGCCAAAGTATGCGGCATATTTACCTGTACTTGGTACATTTATGATAGTGTCTGGCCCAACTTCGATGGTGTTGCAAATTGTACCTATCCGTGCGGATCTAGCGAGCTCGACCCATTCTCTCATCTAATGATAGAGATCGAGTACGGAAGGTCAACGAACCGTCTTCATGCCATGACGAACGGTGACGAGCCAGGTTTTGAGTTTGCCTTCTTATCGACGCCTCCAAGTAGACAATAGCACCAACACGGGGGTCGGGGCGGAAGACGAAGGACGTTTTTAACCCACCTCAATCATCATGGATAATCTGAAATATCCTTGCGATGTCGTCGCAGCGGCTGCGGACTGCCCCATTCGAAACCAAGCCAGTATACTCCAGTCTAAGGATGGTTCTCAGGCAGCGGCGGTTAAGCACCTTCGCATTTTACTCATCTTCCACGCGCACAGCCCAGCATTCACAATCATGTAGGGGAAATGGGTTGACAGATCCCCTCTATTCGCGCATCTTTGTGGTGATGAAGATATCGCATCGGGTCCATGATGCCTTCTGAGTATTATGAAAACCCTGTGAATAGCATTGGTTCGGGAGGCAATGTCGTCTTGTCCTTTCGGCAGTAGCCTTATTCCGATGTATTTGAAGCTGTCTAGTTTTTACAGTTGACAGCCATTAATCCCGAGTTGCGCATTCTTCTATCAAGATGTAGTTCGATGATGCTTTGGCTTTCCCAGCGTTTACGCATAAACCGATCAATTCAGAAACTTAATTCATCTGCCACACTATAGTTTGTGGGTCACCAAAACTGGAGGCCAACATGTAGAGTGAAGGTGCATGACAGCCACCGAGTTAATTTCCGTCGATATCATGGATATCAGGAGTGCTGAGTCAGCCACAGTTGCATCAGCGTTCCGACATAGGGAGGCTCTTGGCCGGCCTCAGAAACAGGTAACATACTCCTGTCACTGAAGCGTCGGATCTACTCGGTGGTGCTACTTCTTCCATCTTTCCCTGACTTAGACCAGCGGTTCATTTTCGGTGTTCCATACAGCCTCCTGTTAGCCAGGGCTTGTCGACGTATTGTCGCCGAACGTGCCCAGTGATAGTATCACAGGCCTGGATGACGTCTCTGCATGTGTTTTTGCTCCTTCCCGTTGCACATACTGGAGTTAAGAGTTTTAGGTGTAATCTTACGAGGACTACTTCGCAGATGATTTCTCTTAACTGAGTTATTTGCCGAGCTTTCAACAGTCCGACGTCTGCACTTTTTGTCCATGCAACAATTCTAAAGTCAGTGAAGATGACACAGGAAACGTCCTAGCCCACTTCACCTTCATCCCTCTAATCTTTTGTCAATGGGCTTTTAACCCGCCTCCTCCCGACTTTTTATGTATGACTCAATCGAATCTCTTTCGGTTTTTATTCCGTCTCGTTTGAGTCATTGGCTCAATCCCAATTAAGCCATAATCCGACAGCAGTAGTACATGCAGCTAAGTTCCAGACGGATTTTGACCTACGACTTTGCAAAAGTCACACGGCCTAATAAACCCGTCTCTTTAGTGGACTCTGGATTCTAACTTCCCGTCCGATTTTCCGAATTCGAAGGCTGCATCTGTAGACGTATCTTATGCATGACGTTAACGAACGCTCCCGAGTTGGGTGCTCCGCCTGCTTGTTACATTCCTACTTTCGTAGTTTTTGTCTAGTTAGTCATCGGCTTTATCGATTACTTGCGAATCCATCGCACAGAGACTGGCGAACCGATGCCTTGAGCACCAACATTCACGCACCTCATCCTCAACTGTCCCACTGTCCACGCACATTCCGTCATCGTATGGGCCTATTTGGCCACATGCGCATCCATAAAAATCTGCAGTACAGCACTGCCAATCGAACCCCATCACCATCGGCACATACACCAAACCCTAGCCCGCTCCTCATCACCCATCACAAACGCAGAGCCGACACCTCACGCAAGTTGAAAAGATGCTCTTTGACTCCTTTTCCATGTGAACCATTTGTCACTAACACATATCAGATCCGCGCAGTCCACTGTCTTTTTGTAGAATCCGGAGACCAGGTCATACGCGTGGCACTGCAGACGGACCGTTTCTGGCTCTGTCAGTTACCGCCAAATCTCAGCACCAGTTGGTTGATCGACTCAGACAGTCGACTGGTGCACGGGAGAGGGGACAGAGTGGGGTTGATCCTTAACGAATATTCCTCACTATAAACAATCTGCTGTACCTGACACTACCACCGTGCCCCAAAAGCCGTGACTTGAAAGGTTGCCGGCTGACGACTCAACTCGCACCTCGCGGCCAGTCCAGTGTGTGTATGGAGCGACCAACTGGTTAACTGAGTCCGACTGCAATGACTCCTTAACGCGATTTTTATGCTACTGCGACTAAGTTGGGGCCCGTGCTGCCCCCATGTTCGTGTTGTTTGAAGTCCTGGTCCTTTGTGCGCCAGCCAAGGGGTATGGCGGTACGCACAGGTGCGGGTTCGCGCCGCGCCAGCCCCTTACGTCCGATTCCTCCTCCAGTCCTCTTGACTCCATCTTGACACTGGGTCAATCTGAGGAGGGAGTGGGTGCGGCGGGTGCAGCGAAAGTCCATTACCACCATAAAACAACTCACGCGTAAGTCACTGTCCCTGTGCTCGCCCTGCTGTGGGTCACACGGTATACATAAACAGAAACGACAGTCGATCTGACAGTTAGCCAATATTTTGCTACCAGATCGTCCGCCACGAACGAGGCTCATTGCTGTGTCGCAGAGGGTGCTGTATTGACTTGCGCATGCTTAGCCTTATTCCGTCGTGGATTTACTTCCTGTTCCCTTATTCACCTAAGAATTATCAGTGAGACCTTTACAAATTAGGTGGAAATTTGCTCCCAAGCACCCTAGGAGTTTCCCCTGCAAGATTTTTCCAGCTCGTCTCCTGCTTTGCTTAACTTGTTTGCTCACTAAAGCTGCTTTTCATGTTTTTATTTTTTTTTATCTTAAAGATTGTTGTACTAAGAACTAACCTCCATTTCAGGCGTTGGTTTGGCAATAAATAGAGACGGGTCCAGTGGAGGATGCATCCGTCTTGGAATCATTTCGTCGGAGGGAGTCGAGAGAAGACTCATCAAAGGCAACGAAGTTCCACTTTTTTCGTACAGGGGTTAATTAAACGTTACTTTTAATCTCCTTTCCTACCTATTTTTCTTCGTAATCCGGAACGGCAACTCGGTCATGTAAATGAGCCCAGAGTTCATTATTTTTCGGGGTTATTGTTCCGCACTGTTGAGTCAGAGTAGGACAGACCATTAGCCCTTGTTCGGTACGGAGAAAGCTATTCGCGTGCGGTAGATTTTGGCTGTTTGGATGAGTGATTCGCTGTGTTGATGGTAGACAGGAACGAATAATTACTAGCACTCGGGTGTCTGCCCATGTTTGTGAAACGTCATTTGCTGTGAGAAAACGCAGATCTTTACCTTGCTTTGGATCTCGTTCGTGTGGTTCTGAATCTGACAGCCTGCTGCGCCAATGGCCCACTGCCCACATTGTATACGGTGGTATTTCAGGCGGCCGTTACAGTATGGTGAACTAGAGGTGCTGATTAACCTTCGTCAGCATTGACGTACAGAGTATTTTAAGTCCCTGCTGCATGACTGCAACCATGCAACTGTCTGATCTGCTTCCCACCTACTAGTCGTGGGCGAAGACAAATTCCGAGCATATAATTTTTAGCAGTAGTTAGATTGCGTTTGACTGTCTGCCACGCCATGGTGCGGACAAGTTCACATACTTCCTATGTGCTTGACAGAGGAGTAGGGGTGAAGGTGCGAGTCACGGGGTTATCGTCGAAAAGATGAATCGATTGTTCCCTTCGAAGGACGCACGTGATAGGACTACAAAGGCTACTCAGTTGTTATTGTCCCCGTTGCAGACATTCTGCGCCGGGACGAGTGTGGTTTGCCCTTCCGACTAACCTCCATGTTTCAGATATCTGCTTCCCTGTCGTTATGCGATTGCTCCGTGGGTAGCCGCTACCTTGCCAAGGTCGCCACCCTCGCAATCACTTCGATTTCCAACGAAACGAACCAGTAGGGTACTTTAAGCAGACAGTGATCCGCCATCGTCTCCCTATCACCTGATTCGCAAAGACCAACGGGTCGACTTTAGAACAAGTCGCAAAAGTCTCGTTCAGGATTTCCTCGAAGTCTTAGGTTTGTGACCGATACCATGCTACTATTTCCTAGCACCGAAGGATTCTCCGACGCACTCGTTATGTGGGCTTATTCCCCTCATCATCTTCTGGATCAATGCGTCCCTGAGTTGCTTCCATACTACTACCGGCGAGGAGACTTATGACAGATAGTAAAGTACCACTCCAGCACACGATACCAGGTCCACAGAGGCTACGCAGATACAATGATATCTGTTTCTCGCCTATACATATAGTATCACTTACTTCATTGTGGGAATCAGAGCTGGAGTGTTCGGTATGACATTTGCGACACCTGGACCCATCCACACTGCTACCGTCTACATCTTATGCCAGTTCGCCGTCCGTCACGTTTCTCCTTAACATGTTTGATGTGCGCCTACACTTCGGTTACCGGCAGCAACGATTTACTGCCGACTTTCTGGATAAGCTGACTTTCGCCAAAGGACTCAGTCTATCCCCCCAGACATCGCACTCAGTCCTGCATTGGCGGCCATAGTCGCTTGCGACTAACAAACCACATAACTGCACACACAAAGCTAAGCTTGAATTTTGAATGATTCTGAATCAACTGGTCTGAGCGTGTTGCCTCCCGGTGTTAACAACCGTCCACTCCTAGAATGACTGGAGTGTTATGTTTCATCGTGTTTACATACTAATTTCCCGGAGCATCCTAGTGACCAATTAAAGAAGTCATGGTTGTTAACGAGTTTTTAAATAAAAGCCAGGCAATTATCAACCGAGAGAAGCGGAGTTGCTCATTCGCCTAAGCTACACTGCATATTGGGTGGCGGATGGCGTAATGGCCATCATTCAAGGTTAGCTGAGAAGTAAGCGAAATTGCGTTGGGATACAAGGCCATCATGGACAAGCAGTGCTGGCAGTGTGCGGAAGATTGATGTCCAGCATACTGGCTACATGGTGAAATGCCGTACTGTGACAATCGAAATTAGTGGACCTCACCGCGACCGCTTGTGGGTTTTACGCCTATTTAAGGGTCAAAATCAAATACTTGTGCCAAACACCTTAATCGTCTCCTACAGGTTCCTGTATTGTAACTGGAATCGACTCCTCTGGACCTCCGCCAGTGGTCCTTGTGCTGGCGGCTCGGCTGACCCTTTCAACTAGTACTAATAACAGGAACCCTATGGTAGAGTGCGGTCATCGATCGCGCTACGCAATATGCAGAACGGAACGAGTAGGTCCCGTATCGCGATTGGTAGGCATCCTCTATCACGGTTCATTTGCTCAGTCGCAGCCGACAGGACAACGAGTTTGTGGCCCATTGGCCATAGCGTCAGGGGTAGCGAACCTAAGGTTGGGTATTTCTGACTGATGACGGCTAATGAGACGGAAATGGCCGTCTAAGTCTCCCATGTACTTGTCGGTATGCTCATTCTGCAACAGGAACCCGTTTTTACCGGCAACTTACGGTCTAAGCAGGCGAATTCTGGCGCAGTGAGGCGTCAACGTTTTCTGACTTTTCAAGGTGGGTTTGCTCGATCACACTCTGCAGCATTAAGGTACGCGGCGCCGACAATCGGACAGAAACGTACAATTAATTTTCGATGACAGACGGGTACAATACATTAAAAGGCTTTCTTGTGGGCAATTAGGATTCGGGGGCGAGAAGTGTCATGCATGTACGGGGAAAGCTTTGGGCTATTTAGCACTGAGGAGCAGTTGTTCAAATGGCGAAAGGTTCGTAGATTCCGCCATGTCGAGCCGCATGATCGCCACGGACACCCAAATCTAATAACCTAGGAAAACTCTAGTCGCCTAATATTCGCCTGGTGATCCACTTGCCCGAGCTCATTGGTCCCTTAAGTGTCAGACACATGCACGGGGCTGGCGGGTGGTGAAAAAGTTCTCTGATGACTTAGTACAATATGTGCTACGGCTTAGACTGTCTGGGGAGATACCGTCCACAAAGAAATACAGCACTGGACGTTTCAGGGATTCCGTCATTGAAATGCACCTCACAGCGTTTCTATCTGGTTTTTTCCTAACGAAGTTAAAAAACGTAGCAGTCGCCTCGGAGTCCTACAATTGGCATTGACCTGTTCGAACCGAAGGAGGTTCCTCAAGGTACGTTTTAGGAGGTGCTGTGCAACTGCCGGCATCGGCGCAGGAGCTGGATATCAGGTGAAGCGATCCCACTCGCTGGCAGCATAAGGCTTACTCATTCCCGAACGATGCTATCTTCAAGGGCTTTTTTCGCGAAATCATATGGTACGCGTAGCATGGCCACGACGGGCACTCCAGTTAAACTGCCTTCGTCACTGAACGTGTTCCATTTGAGGGTGGTGCCATAATGTTGTACCCGAATTTGAGTCCAGTTCGATAATTTGTCTGTCTCGACAATCAAGGATAACGGAGTTGTGATAGCATACAGTTTGGACACGATAGCTCGTTATAAACAGTACTTTATTCAGCTTCTGAACCCGGCGGTCTCGAGCCCTTCAGCTCCCCTCCAGTTTAGAGGCACATTGGCAAAGTTTTATTCGACTTGCCCCTCATCAGCCAGAGGGTGATTTGAGGGGAAGGGAAACAAATGCATAGCTGGGACTGTTTTCTGTCGGACATATGTGACTGATGATCGACACTAATTGCCGACCGACCACAGGTTTCGGACAGTACATGCCGAATAGAGTCTTTACACTGCTTCTCCAGAAAGGCTACAAGTCACCATGGGAAAACTATAATGGCGTCAACTTTCGGGACATTGCTGGTGAGGTTGATGCAGTCATAATCATCGGCGGCATCCTTTCTTCCGCGATGGGCAAACGAAAAAACCGGTGCGACGCCCAGCTGGGTTGATAGTATGTTGAGTGGCACTTCTGGTTTCTCTAGACTTTCGAACACCACTGCTAATCGCAACTCACCGCCGTTTGTTTCGTGGACTTGTGTTCTTAACGCTGTACAGCGGGATTTCCTGTGGTCGATCATGTTTCATGATCGCCTATCACTGAAATTACGTTGCATATTCCAAGTCTGTCATCTGAGAACGCGAACCGATGTTCGTCTAGGTGGCGAAGAACGAGTGCCTTGCTTTCACGCCTAGCGTCAGCCAGGGCTAAGTTTTTTCGACTGCTGTGCTAAACTACGTAATGGATTGTGATATTCAATACGTGCCGACACGCCACTCCGGTCTTACATAAGGTCGTTGTCCAGACGTTGCGAATCCAAACCATACCAATACTACTGCAGTGCTGACGAGTTTCTGTGCTGGAATGCTACGCCCCGTGTCCCATATAAGGACGGAGGCGGCTGAGGTGTGCCTTAAACTCTTCCAGGAGGGAGGTTATCTGCTCGGGTTTCGCCGTCGGGACTCTCCGCCAGTCACAGTGGACTGTTTGTATTGGAATATTTGACAAATACTGCTAACTTCGGCCGGACATTTCATCAAACGAGCATGGAAAACAATAGTCATCAAACCATCTATGCGCACGTGACCCTTGTTAGGCATTCCGAAAACATTTGAAAGCGACGCAAAATCAGCCCAAAGGGTGAACGCTCTGACGTTATACACCACCTGGGATCATTCGACGGATGCTGCAAGCGCTCCATTCTCCGTATTATTTGCTCTTATTCTGACCCAGTGAACCACCATACAGTTGGTCAGAAGCGCGACTCGTTAACTGTGCCCTTTGTGCTCGCCACATATAGCTAGTTGCGAATTTCATAGGCGATAATTATGAATAAGCCGAATGAATGGCCTAATGCTGGGCGGCAAGATAGCGACGGCGAGCTGCGGTCCATTCGTGTTGCCGCATAATTAGTATCATATCGATGTGCTGGTTATGATGGGCAGAACATCCTGTTGATATCCGGTTTGCCATACTCCAAACCGCCTCCTCGGGCCACACTGTGCGGCATTCAGAAGTAATAGCCAGCAAGAATACGGAAAGCCAAGTTGAATTGAAATGCAATATTGTAGGAGTAGTCAAATTCAATAAATCCTCAGGACATGAGGGCCAAACAAAAGCTAGAAAACGCATCAAGGACCACCTGGGGTAGATATCCACCACAGGAACGTTTCAGTATTTAAACATAGAAGCCCCAGGCTGCAAGTCAACGTTCTCGCTAGTAGGCGAGATAATCTAATAATCCCATTTGTAGGAACTGAGACCATGAACATAATACAGCAGTATAAATAAATACGAAAGAGTAAGGGAAGACAAACCTCATGCAAGACCCAATCTTGGTTTATAAGCGTTTATTTTCAACCCACATCAATTCATTATATCTGCAAATAGTCGATCCCAGCTCCAAACCTCGTCCTCCTAAATGTGGGTATTTACTTCAAAATACGCCGACACTCACTTCTTTAGTCTCTTCTTCTGGATCCAAGAAGGAAGAAAGAAGTCTGAGATCAATTTTGTTATCCTTAACATGTTTGTATAATACACTTTTTTACAAGGAAAGCAAGGGCACTGCATTTTGTCGACTCTTCGTCTAGCTTCCAGTATGTCGGGAGACGCGTCGCAAGTAGACTAAAATAAGAGAAATTCCATATAACAAACATCCTATAGGCTAATCGGCAGGAAATAAAAGCCTGTTGTTGAGGTTTTGTAGCCGAAAGCGTGCACAGAGGAATTTGATTTCGTCGCGGCTGCCGCTAGTAGATGAAATTAGGTAGTCAGAAAAAATTCGATAAAAGATTTCAGTTGCTCGACGTTTTGCCGCTCCTTTTTAATTTTTTCGTCTGTGGCTTTCTGATATTTTCAGAAAGTGTTGCATCTTTTCAGCGTGCCGGTGTGTCAGTATTATACTTGCGGCTTTGTGAGAACATCTTCGAATTTGTTACTAAACGAACGTCTTAAGTAGTATGTCTCTTATGCTCCCCGAGAGGCTGGTTTGGTCAGAATAGCATTCGCCAAAAGGGTTTAAGCTAACAGTTGTCCATGTACTATTCGATTTTCCATCTTCGAACTATTTTAGAAGCTTCTAACGGCTGTGTATATTGGCCGCCAGACCATTGTTGTGGCCAATTTAATGTCGTTTGGATCTCGATAGTCTGCAAACTAAGAAAAATCTGCCTGACACCCTGTGATTGTTTGTATCCCTCTGTACCCAGAACGGTTTTGTTCTACCCGACTGAACTGAAACAGACTGTTGGATTTTTCCAACATCCTGTTTCTGAATTCAGGTTGTGAAAAAAATGTCTTTTACGGAACGCGAGCCCAAGATATAGACGCTAAACTGGTTGGCGAAACACCATGATCTCCAGGCACAAAATACGGTAGCTTTATACATAGCCCTTCGGCAACCTATACTAACAAGCTTTGTGAAATTCCATCAATAATTAGCAGGTGCCCGGTGCTCCCTTTTTGCGTATCCCGTCCAAATAAACTACAGCTGTATGCAAATTCCCCTCGCGAGTAATGTCGACGGCGCGTAGGCAAACTAGGAGCAAGATATCAGCGAAGGGGATGGTGTGACCCAGGCAAATGGTTAAATTGCCTTGTATCTTTATGCGGACTGTTTTTTTGTTGGAAATCTCTTAAAGAAATTAATAAGGACTAAACGCTTAATGTAAATTAGATGTGCTTTCAGAAATTTTTTGGTTTATGATAATCTATAAAAATGTCCGCAACCGGCAGTAGCCATGCGTTGTAAGCATCTCCTTTATCCTTGAGTAGGAAAGTACGGAAAAAGTAATGTCGGACAACGACTTTAATGGCAGCCATAACTCAATCATGTTCGATGGCTACACCTTTTGTAATAATTCGAATTGTAACCGGGTTATAGTAAAAATAAACCTACTATACGACCTGCCGGGTCCTTCTGTGGGAAAAAAGTCACTTCAAAATAAATTTCTACTAGACTTCCACTTATTAAATACAGGTGGAAATGGATTCGGCTGCCGAACGTCGCTATTATCGTGCTAGTGTCAAAAGTAATTGAAACAAGCTGGTTTTAACTAGTAGGCCGAACAAAGCATGTTTTAAGATTGACTAAATCATACCTCGGTGCACACGAAATCTCCTCCTCTGTGCACGATTCATCAATATCACCAGTCTCAGGTATCGTAGGAATGTCTGTACAGCTTGTATAAGTTGTGTTATGCCACAGTTACCCGGCTCGTCATCGGATTCTTGAATAAAGTTAAAGTAAAGGCCATTATACCTGCATCAACTATAGAGAATTTATCGTCTGCCCTGTCACTATCACTTTTATCAAGTCCGCATCAAAAGTTATACAAGAGACAAACCACAAATAGTATTGTGTTAGGTCGTTTGTATTGTCTTCACCCCAGCTGCCAAGTACCTTATGAGGAACACTCATCCCGCTACCACTTTTCTGACCTAATGTACGAAAAACCTAAGCATATGGTCACTACTTTCAGGCATGCTTAGGGGTTCTGTGTCGTCCTTAAAAATTACTGACGATAGTTTTCGGTTTCTTGCTCTTCGTCCGGTTTTTGGTGACTAAAAATTCGAATCTGGTTTTTATTTTTACCATGGGCGTGACTCCAAAGTCCAGTTCGTCTGTTTTATTCATTTCCGTTGAGGGTTATAATTACAACCAAACGCCATACGTCTATTGGCTGCCGGTTGGTATCCACAGTAACAGCACCTCTGCCTTTCCCATAGTTAACAATATGGAATATGCCAATAGGCGCATGATTTATTCGGGAGACGCTTTACTTTCTTTTGTGCCATTATGAGGACATCTGCACATAAAAACCAAAATAAGAATAAGAAGATCCTGAGTATAAAACATGGTCTAGTCGCTTGGGCTTCGTTACAAGTCCGTTATCTCCCGCAAAGTACGTAACAACATCAGTGGCGTGAAGTTGTGAAATGATTTGCCGTACTTACAACAAAGGTGCAGGAGCGCGACCGTAAAGGCCTGCTCTAAAGTTTTTACTCCAAGTTCGCGCATGAAATTCTTCGGAAATTAAACAAGGCAAAGTGGTATGAAGCCCAAAGCAACTCCGGTTGTTCTTTCGGGAATGTCAACTGACAAGCGGCCGGTGCTAAAACGAGGGTACACCTTGATCGCCAGAGCTGGGTATTTATCCTAGGCTTATGGGAGTCGAATGTTCCTACACCGAAGGGAGTGTATTTCCGCCGACCTAAATATGTATTAACACCTTCTGAGTAGTGTGTTTAATTCGGATTAAAAATTCAACCATTTGCGTGGCCTTAAGGTGTGGAATAAATTCGAGTTAGCAGTCGAAAACTGTTCGACTGAGACCTTTTAAAAACAAAGAGAGGGCTTATTTTGTTCGGTCCCAGGAAAAGTTGCCCACGAAACTCTCACATTGAGGTCTTTTTAGCCGGACTAGTCTTCCGGGGAACGTCTGAAACGCCGGGAATTATTGAGGGAGCTGGAGAGGAGACTTTTAGCTAGAGAGAGCAACTTTGTTATTTCCAGGGAACCAGTGATACAGAGAAGCACGGTGTTTGTCTAGAACCAGCCAGTTGTTGCAATGGCGGCGGCAGAAGAGTATTGGCAAATTCGAGACAACTCGAACTAAGCACCGCCGACTGCTGCAAACCTGAATTATTTTACACTGAGCCCCGGAGTCCGTCTTTCAAGCTCAATGAACTAAGGATACAGGTTGATTACACATCTTTGGATTTCGTAGCAATAACAGAAATTTGGCTGACAGATAAAGACAGTGATTGCGAAGTAGCACTATTAAATTATCAATTGCTTACTTCTGTCCAGGAAAAGCAGCCTCCGAAACTCTCACAAGGAAGTTTTTTTTTCAGCCGGACTATTCTCCAGCGGAACGTCTGAAACGCCGCGAATTGGTAACGGA